GAGAGAGAGAGAGAGAGAGAGAGAGAGAGAGAGAGAGAGAGAGAGAGAGAGATGGTAGGCCCTAATTCTTTATTAATAAAATACTAGTAGATAGAATATTTTTTCAGATGTTTACATTATTTTGTCTATCCTAATATTTTATGATATCGGAATCATCGATCGTTTCTAAATAATGTTTGATCTACCATATTCTTTGTCTGCGGTATATGATATAATGTGATTATACGCGGTTCCATTTATAAAATTGGTTCGGTTTATCAGATGAACATATTATATAATTTAAAAATTCCACTTATTATATATTCCATTTCATTGCCGTAGGATATTTATATTTCTCCTACGCTGTACATACAAATTCGTTTGCGCGATTAATTGATCAACTGATTAATTAAATCAATTATCCGCTAATAACTCGTAATCCACAAATTATTTTTAATTATCTACCTCTTGTCCTGCTCTACATTGTATCGATTGATTCAAATAAAAATATCCGCCACTCATTCGAGCTCCATTCCAAGACGTGAAAGAGGGATGAGGGGGGAGAGTGGGGGGGGAGATTAAGGATGGGGCGCCTCTGAAATATCCATCTTCCTTAACCCGGTAAGAAGCGCGTTTTCCGATCAGTTAAGCCCGACTAAACCTCAGCGACGTTTCTAAGAGAGCCTCGGAACGGGCTAGGAAAAGTGGTAAGGAAAAAAAAGACTAAGAAAACCGGCTGCGAAGCCGAGAGAGGAGGATGGATTTCGATGGGTTCTTTCCGAAGCGAGGACGGAGGAAGCGCTCTCAAGTTCGACTAGATAGAACCGTGATTGAAAACACCGCCCCCGGCGGCACAAGCTTAAGTAAGTGTACATACACACATACACAACGAGGGTGTATTATGCGTGCATATCTTGCGCGTTCTTTGACCTCCCACTGCCGCATATGGAATAATATAAGTGACCGAGAATTCTACAAGTGCTCCTCTACCTCGGCGCGGGAATGGGCTCCAGATGAAACTTTCACCGGACTGGCTGACTGCATCTGTCTTTTTCTACTAGAATCGTGCGAGCTTGATTCTTCGCGTCCCGCGTCGTAAGAACCCTAATCGGTCTCATCCTTCCTTCCGGCGATTTTATAGACTGGAAAATTGACATTTCTTAAGTGTCAAAGTTTATAGTAATTATACAGATGACACTGTTAAATTTATAATGTCAAATTATTATATCTATATAATTTGGGTTATTTTTCTCATTTCTGTAGGTCGCCACTTCTCTTACGTAAATATATTGTTAATTTGATTAAAACGACGGCGTTAAAAAATTTAACTCAAGAAAATGTATTAAATTTGATTCAATGTAATCTATTATTCATTAAATGCATATTTTAGTATGAACGATTTGAAATTAACACAAAATAGATTGATTTATATTTTGACACACATGGAAATTAAAAATAATAAAATGTTATTTAACTCAAAAGATTAGGTTAATATTGCTCCTTTGATCAATGTATGATTGATGCTCTAGTATGTTTTGTTAGCGATAGTTTTATCTTTATAGATAATCTTTGCCTGTGTATTCCTTGACAAATGATTTTTATTAATTTATTTCCAAGACAACCGTCTTGGAAATAAAAGATTCATTAAATTTTTCTGTGTTACAATTACATTATCCTTTAAAAGTTTGGAAGCACTGTTTTCTTTTAGATTAGACGATCAAACAGCCATTTACAACAGATATTTCCATATATGAAAATATAAAACGCCATATATGATAATATGAGAACTTGATCTTGATTGTCTGTTTCAACTACGTTAAAACAATACACTTGGTAAAATTCTTTAAATAAAATATTTTATTGGAAGTATAATATAATTAGACTATTCAACATACTATTATTCTAGAATAGCCCATTCAACATATTTTCATTTGTATTCTAATTATAGACTTTCAAGGAAATATTTCATTTAAGGAATATTACCGTGAACCAAGTGAACGTGCTACATCATTGTTGTATTATCAAGAAATAACAAGTTTTCATGGTTTAAGTAAAATGTAATTGTTATTATCATAATTATTATTTGTTCATTAATTACAGTCTGACATCATAAAGAGATTGATTTTTTATTTTTTACAGTGTAACTAAAAGTATTTAATAATTAGCTTTACAAATTAATAAGCTGGATGTCTCGAATTTGTATATGGCAATAACTAAAAGAAAGACGTTTTAATAAATCAAAAATATAATGTAACGTATTATTTCATAGCAATTAAAGCTTTATATAGTTAATTTTTTACTATGTCTTTTTAGACCTTTACAAAACGGACTGTTTAATTATCTTGAAACATATACATGAGAGCTTAACTATATTTAGACAATTAACCGTGTCGTAGTCTTGGAAAGACAGTAATGAGATTATTTTCTTAGGTATTACATGATCCTAACAACATCTTTTCTTATTTATGAGACCATTTATATCTTTTTTCCTTTCTGGGTTATATTTATGGTGACGTAGACATTAAGTTCTCAGCTCATTTTATTCGACGACTCACCAGGGATCCATTTTTTTTTGTTCCAGGTTAAGCTCGACAAGAGTCACAGCGGCAAACCTTCCAGAGTCATTCATATCAGGAACATACCTAACGAGGTGACAGAGGCAGAGATCATCCATCTAGGTCTGCCGTTCGGTCGTGTTACCAATGTACTTGTTCTCAAGGGCAAGAATCAGGTAAGTCCAGATTAATTACAAATCTCTTACTCGACTGTTATCTATTTATTTCAAATGTTGTTTCAAAAGACGCATAAAAGGTCATTACAAATCGCTACTTCGATATACTGATATCAGCAAAAACTAAAAATAATAGTAAAAAATTAACATCGATGCGTAAAAAAGAAAAATTGACTGGAAGAATATCCCATTTATTCGGGCTGCCTGATCGCGATATCTTTCAGCGCTGCAAACGGCACCATCGTTCCGTATAACGGCGCCGTTTGCACGTGCTCTGCGACATTGTACTCTTGCCAGACTGGAGATGAGAGTGCTGCAACGCGCTCGAGAGGGAGAAAGAAGGATAGTGGGTGAGTGAGTTTGTGCCGCATGAATAACGCGTTTCGACGGCCGTGACGCGCATGGATGGCCGTGCAATAGCGGAGACAATCGAATCGCCGATATGCGGTCGAATCTAGTCGATTCGAGTCGAGTCGAGTCGAGTCGAGTCGAGTCGAGTCGAGTCGAGTTGACGATCGTCCGTTTAAGCATTATTATCCATTATTACCTGCGCCGCATTCCGCCCCGCGTCGTTACAAAGGCGACCGCGTGCTCTCAACCCCATAGAAGCGCAACCCCTCGACGTATCGTCATCCTCGTCAGCTCTGATCCGTCTAGCAACTCACCCTTTCTATCGACGCTCGTCCGTGACGCTACACGCAAGGCTATTATTTCGTACGATGAGAGAGCCAGTTTATCGAGTTCCAGTGTCGGTTTATCGAGCAGCGTTTCCTATCGACCAGCTTGCCTCGCTCTTGTGTTATCTGCTGTAGATGTTGTGCTTAAATACATTCCCTTACTTTGATGGTATAAGAGAGTTGAAGAGGTATCTTTTACTTTCGGCTGTTTTTTGTTTCCGTTGATTCGCAAAGTCTTACGTATCTCTGGCATTTATATTAGATTGGAACAAAAGTTAGTAGCGCTACTTTATTTTTTGTATCATAGTTACATATTTTCCCTTTATTTAACATATTAACCCCTTTATTTAAATTTAAATTTCGTTTATTTTTAGAGTTACAACTGCGCTTAAATTTTGAAATTCTTATGCGTTACGAACTTTTCAAATCATTGTATTATTTAATATTTAATTTTTTAATATTAAGTGAAAATGAATCAGAATGGACTGAGAAAAATGCAACATAAATGAGTGAAGAGAGCCATATTCGGTCAAGACGGATTTTAGTTCTTAATAATAGTTTCGAACTAAGACGCTTATACAGAATGAGGGAGATCAAGATTCGAATCCCTGCTGAGGCGATATCTTTTGCAATAAGTTCTTTACGGTATTTTAAATATCACTAGCATCAATAATATTAAATCGCTTATCAATTTAATTTGTGATATTACATACTGTATAATAGCTTTAGTCTAGGACTGTTTTAAGACCGACAAGTAATTGGCACGCAATTTACTTGAACTGGAAATTATAAAAATTCACACATAAATATTAAACATCAAGATCTACCTTAACGAAATATGGTTCTCTTCATCCATCTACTTGATTTTTTTTTTCAAATATAAATGTTGTTTATTTTTTTTTTTAATATAAATATTGTTAAAAGTTTGCATTCGTGTATATAGAGAGGAATCCTTCATTAACGAGGAAATAAATTATCTATCGCGTTTTAGTAGCAGTAATTGGGTTGATATAAATTTTAATGCTTTCCCTTCACTGCGCGTTACGGTTGGATCAAAACCGACGGAATGGCAAATTTGGAGCAATTTCGTGGCGTAACTATCGCAGTGCCGCGATCGAGTTTTACGAACGATACTAACCATCCGCGATCTCTCCCGGAGTACGCTCAATTACGCACAAACGAAATTACGTTTACGCGAGCGCGCGCGAGCGTCGTTCCAGCCTGCGTGATCAAAATATCAATTCGTTTTGGCGATATTAATTCCCTGCCCGCACGTGCGACAATACTCGCTAGAAGGTTAATAAAGTTCTGCGGATTTTGCGACGTGCGACGTTACGGCAACACGACGATGTATTCAAGTAGTGATACTTGTCCATCTCTCTCAATGCATCGCGACTTTGCGCCCGCATACGATGCAATTGCTGTAACTGTCCCTCAGATACACTCAGATGCTCTGTATCTCTTGTCTGTATGTTTACGAATCAATTTTATATTATGAACAATACGTTTATATATCTACACGAATATTCGTAATTAACTTAATGGAACAATAATATTGTTTATATTACTAAGAAATAATTCGCGGTGTATATGTTTTTATATTCCGTTATATATATATGGATTATATAATATTATATGTATAATTTAACGTTAAATATTTTATCGTGATTAATTTTATTATAAAAAAAATACGGATTATCTACATGAATATTTATGATAAATTTAATCGAGTAAAATTTATATTCTTTACATTGCTAAGGAATAATGCACAGTATATAGATAGTTTTTTTATATTCTAACGTTATAAATTATATAATATTGTATAATTAATGTTTATATTTAATATTATTTATGTGTGTTTTAAATGTGTGTGTGTGCCATGTACTTCTTATATTCGTATACGCTGCTTCGTGCTTAATTTTTAATGAATTTAAAGACAATTTTACGTGTGAAAGAGAGTTTGATTGTATATTTTTCTCATAAATTACTTTCTATAGTGCTTTGTTACTACATGACTGTTTTATGCTGTCTGTCTACAAAAATAGAATTTTATGTAAAAATGAACAACACACATCCAACGCACTGTCTCTATACAAAATCCCGCAACTTCCAGTTGCAATGATTACTTTTAGCAATGTAAGCATGGATTCCAAAAATGGACCAACAGCTTCATATTGTGTATATACGCTGTGCCGGATTTCAAATAATGTAGGTAGTCGGTATATCGAAACTTCGCGTATTCTCTTCACGTTTGAAATACACTAAAAATTCAGATTCACGCGTTTTGATACTTCAAAAATTAATAACTATCTATCCCTCGAAATAATATATATATATATATTATATTTAAATACGACAAAATCCACTTTTAATATTTCACCATCATACGAAAACCGATATCAAAAAGAGGGTTTATGTATAGAAGAAAGGTCTATTTATAATTTAAACATATATCCGGTAAACGTCACAGGTGAAATTCACAGAATATTTTATTAATTTTACTGATAAAAACGATTAAATAATATGGGATTATATTATCCTATCCTTTTTTTAATCTCACTTAATATTTGTGCTCGTGCCAGACCGATCAATGATTCGTTCGAATTTACTGGCGGTACACCGAAATCCGCTTTACCGCAAATTATTCCGGGAGAGATGTTTTTCGTGCCAGCGATTCCTCGAGGTCGCGCAAAATTTTTTCGATACGAATTAATGGCGAATCGTCTGAAATCGGGGGAGGGTCGAGTACGAACGGCAAGGATGTGATTTGAGAGCGGACGGGCTTTGAAGGGGATTAAATTGGAACACCGAGTATTCATCATAGCTTACCGAGCGGGGAATATTTGAATAACTTGTAAATCCTCCCCCGAAATGCGTATTTGATGGCGCGCTTCGATTTTGAATTCTCTCACGGTTCGTTTTAGTTCCCCTATGCCAATGTCTAACCACCCCTCTCTATATTCCCGATTCGATCATACTTCGCCGAGACCCTCGCTGTAAATCGCTAATACATAATTTTAATCAAAAGTTAACTCATTACGTCGATAAATGATCACTACCTCTAATCTTGCTTCAAAGTACTTATTGGGTTACATTATTAACAAAATGACTGGAGCGCAAAATTTCGATGTGTTACGTTAACAATCTTAAGATTCGTTTTTATATACAAAAATATATTTCCATGTATACTTTCACGTGCATTGATGACCAAGAACGTTCTGAATTTTCTTTTTACTTTAAAGCGATATTTCTGTTTGCACTGGTGGCAAGTGAAATTAATTTCGCGAATTACGATAACGCTATTCCGATATCGTGTTGTTTCAATGTTCTCGTTATTTTGACTGCGCTTCGAGAAATTTGAACCCTTTGGGTATAAAATCAGGATATACGTATGGAATGCATGAACCTTTCATCGTTTGCATGTCGCTTCAAAGCGCATTGCCTAATCAGCGTGGTTAATTGCAGTATGCGCTTTGCACGAAATACGCAATAGGTGAAGCGTCCTATTTGGAATCCATTAAATGACTGCACTATAAACGGACACAGAACTCCTTCAAAGGAATGTTTGTTCAACCGTCATTACATTACTCGAGTCTTGTAGGATAATTCCCTATTTATAGTATATATCTTCGTATCGTGAACAGCTTCAACAAAAGGATCGGATTGTGGTATCAAATCTCGATATCAAATATTCGCTGTGCAAATATTTTCGATCTCTATCCGTTCCCAAATATTCCCATATATCTGATGCATAAACGACATCAACATCGCGGCAACCATTCTCATAGAAACGGCGAAAAATTGTCGTGCTTTTTCCCACGCGTTTTATTGTGTTTATTTTGAAAAATGTTTTATTCATACACAGGATAGAAATGAATTTTAATTTGAGTAAGTGGTCTCGAAAAAACTTTTTCTAATGTCACTGTCGATTCTGTATCACGCATCTTCGATATCTACAAGATCGCAACGTGCCACGCGACACGTGCGGTTTTACGTGTAGCGGAAGTCTCGCGCGTTGTTTGAGCACCGCCACTAATGCGTATGTAATTTGCACGAGGGGATAAATCTCTTCATCTGGCTCAATGCGGCGAACCGGTGCATCGATGCATTACTTTAATCCCCTCCTGGTATAAACAGACCAGCTCGATTCGCATTATCATACCTGTTGTGCGCTACGTATTAGAGTTATCAGTGCGCGTATGCGTGGGGTATGCACGCAAGCATTAAACGCACTCGCATAATCTCGAGAGGGAGAGAGGGAGAGGATGCGGTGCGTCCGCAAAGCCTTGTCGGCGATTCTCTGAAAATCAATCCAGTGACCCC